TACATTTACTTTCCCTTCAGCCTGAGGCTTATTCATTTCACTTTTGGTGTGAAGAGGCTTTTATATTTGCCAAAAATATAACTTTTGTATTTTAAAAACAAACAAGCAAGCCCTGTCCAGATTTAAAAAGTAACGCAAAAGTAACGTAACATTACTTTCCATAAAAAGTAACTAAGTAACCGTTACTTTGTTATGGAGTAACGCAACACTGTAATGCATTACTTTTAAAAGTAACTTTCCCCAACACTGACAGTGAGAACGTCAAAAAGTCTCAGAAAAACACAATCACAATCACCAAACCCACCGTCATGTGCCACAAACAGCGATCCAGCGTCACCCACGTTATATACACCACACGAGCTGAAGAATCGTTTGCACATCAATAACGTTCACACTTACAAAAGGTGATTAAATGGCATACGTGTCTTGAGAAAGCATTAGTCTTGACAATATTGCACAAACAAGACATAAATAAATAAACTCTTCCGTTAACAACATCGACTACTTTTTCCTCAAATCACCGTCAGGGGAACAAAACAAAACATGAAACAAAACACCATTTGTGTTTGGATCACTCTTTACAAAAGACATAAGACGGACACACATGCACATAAACGCACGACATATTTTTACGCAGCGATGGTTTCCCGATCACAAATGCTCTTTCGAAAACACTGAACCGCTAAAAGCGAAATGTAATGACCACTGTTGCTCTCTTCTGTCTCGCTGGCTTGTTCTACTGACATCAGTCAAATCAAATAAAACATTAGGTGTGCTGCTATATTCTTAGAGAATCTTAATCCTCATAATCCAAAAAAATAACCAAAGGTGTGAAATGACATTGTTGATGCGCGGTAGAAAAATATCTCCTGTTTGCACATGTTGAGGTGGATTAAACGTGGCTTGAGAGCCATTACACAAAACCACTTCACAGAAGCGTCAGCAGGGGGCAGTCACTTCATTTCTTTTTGGGGGGGGGGGCTCTGATTGGCACATCACTTCCTGTTTCGCAGCAGGAAAGAGATGCACAAACAGGAAGAATGTACAAGACGGTAAAAAGGTTACATTGTAAATGGGTCAATGACGTATTTGGATTTTCGACAAATACAAAAACAATAATATCTATTGCAATTGTTCAAACATTAAGAATGTTGTGTGCACAAATTCATATTAGAATTTTAAATTAAGTGATTTTAGTGTTTTTTCATCTATGTCAGGTGGTGCGACCGTGATTTATCTTAAAATTTATTAATTTCCTTAACATGCATAAATTTTTTTTTTTAAAGTTCTCAATAATTAAAGCGTTTAGAATTTTTTTTTGTAAATAATTATTTTTATTTTAATTCTATAATTTTTTAGAACAAAAATATGAGAATTATTCACAAAAGCTAAAAAACAACAACCTGTAAACACTTTAATTACTAAAAACTTGTTATGTATGTTAAGGAAATTAATTAATTTTAAGATAAATCACGGTCGCACCACTTGGCATTTTTTAAAACTATGGCCAGTTCACCTAGACGAAAAAACACTAAAATCACTTCATTTAAAAGTTTAATATTAATTTATGCGCACGCAACATTCTTCATGTTTGAACAATTGCAATAGATATTATTTTTCAGTATTTTAAAAATCTCAAGTTTGCTTGTCGAAAATCCTTATACGTCATTGACCCACATATAAAATGACACATGCAAGGCAGTACGAATAAAAAAAGTGTGGACGAACAAACATTCAAGAGGAATTAATCACTAAAAACATCTAGAGTGCTAATGAATACAGCATCAATGGTTTCACCGTTGAGCCAAAGCAAGTCCATCCTAACAGAAAAACCTAGAGCGTACAGCTACAGACTGTATTATTCAGTCTAACTATCTCTTAATAAAATACACTTTATGACTGCAAGCCAAAAGCATCTAATCAGATGCCAGCTATTGAACTCCAAGGGTAAAGTCCCTGGAAGTGAGTTTAGATATTACATCCTCAAAGTGTGACAAACATTAGTATCTTATGCAAAAAAGAAAAATTAATTAGTATGACAGTATGTTGTACAGCAATTGATTTCAGTGCCCAGTAGTACCTCTAACACTCGGAAAATGTGGCTTCCCAGATGTAGTTTTCAAGTATTAGTACTGCATCTTAAACTGGGAAAAATGCTAAAAGAACAACAGAGAGAGCGAGGAAAGAATTGGCTAAAATGTTCAAGCCCATTCGATCACTTGAGGCGCTGGGTGACATTAGCAAGTGCTACAGCAAAAGCTTGCACAGCTGAGAAGGGGTACTGAAAGTCCAGGATGTATGCGTTCCCATCGATCCTTCCGAACTGCATCACCTACACAGAATAAAATAGGTGACGAGTTAGAAAGCACGCAAACGGTGATCAGCAGAAATAACATCTAAAGCAGGGGGGTCCAAACTCAGTCCTGGAGGGCCACTGTCCTGCAGAGTTTAGCTCCAACTTGCCTCAACGTTCCAGTTTGCCTTTGTTTAACTGGGGTTGTAGCTAGAGATGTAACGATTCACTCAACTCGCGATTCGAGATTTTGATTTCACGATTCTCTCACGATTTTTTTTTAACAAAATGAGATTGAAGACATTATACAGTAAATGAAAAGGTGTCGCTTTATTAGGCCATTGCTGCACTTTTCTTTCTGAAATTGAAATATAACAAAACTAAATTGAAATTTTAAAACAAACGCCAAATCAAACAAGCAAGTTACACAAATAAAAGAAATCTCTTCATATAAACAAACTAAGGCTTTTGTCTGTGCTCTTTCCATTTAAAATTAGAGGCAATCACTGCATTTTAATCACGATCCAAACAAAGATGCAGCGTACATGCAGCATGAGCAGTTTGTAATCTAAATCTGACGCAAAAACAGAATGGTCTGACTTTATAGTTTTGTGAAACTATACTACATAAAACATATCTGAAGGAAACAGCAGACGAGCTGAATGAGACGCAGATTCACTCTCTGCCAGCAGGTGGCGCTCATGAACAGCAATGATACAGTGTTTCCTTGGTTACCGCTGTAAACAAAGCAGAGCTGCTATGAACAGCAATGATAGTGTTTCCGTGGTTACTTTAATATGCATCGTTCAGAGGCAAGATGAAAAGAAAATACCACGTAAACTTTTCTAAAGACAGTCAGTTCCCCTCACAGATGCATTCATATAAACTCCTACTCCAATTATATTGCGATTAGTTTGGCATCTCAACCGATTTGAATCTTCACATATTTTAATACATTTTCAACTGGCTCGCGGTTCATCGTTACATCCCTAGCTAGGGCTGCCCCCTAATAGTCAACGAGAAGAGTAATAATCTTTTGAATCTGTAAAGACTGTTTATTTGTGCGCACACAACAACAAAACATTGCGCTTTTGTAAAATAATGAAAGCAAACAGGATGCGCTTTCAGCCGTCTCAGTCTCTGTGAATTTGAGCGCGAAACTCTGTGTATACTTGCCTTACAGACATAAAAAATATATCTATAGAGAGCGAAATGTCTACTTTCAAATAAAACAATTGAAATGGAAAACAAATATTCTCAGATTATGTAATCCGTATGAAACACGCATACAGGCGCATCCACTACTGCGGAGATGACGAGTCAAGGTCATTGCACACAGAGCCCGACATTTCCGTATACGTTTTTTTCGTATTCGTTGTCCTAAAAATTTGTCACGCACAGAAACCTGGCACACTGAGTCAGATGCGTATTAATTAATCCGTTACGAAAAAATTCACAAAACAATATTAAATGGAGTCTTCAAACAGTGAGAAAGATTTTGTTGTCCTCTCGCTTCTTAAAAAGAGAAAAAGAATAGAAATATTGGGTCCATCCAATCCTGAGATATGGAGAGGAAGGAGAGTTCCCCCTCATTAAGGAGCAGCGGGATTATCCTGAGCGATTCAAAGTTTACTTCAGGATGTCAGTGGCTCAGTTTGATGCTTTGCTAGCGATACTAGAGCCACATATTAAAAAAGAAGACCACCAATTTCTGTGAACTCCATGTGCAAGGATCTTTACAGTGCTTTGTACTACGAGACGAAGTGGATGAACTTGACAAACGATATTCTGGATTTTTGCGTTCGCTTGTACGGTGGCTCTGAATTGTCAAAACACCTCTCAAAATGCTTGCTACGGATGCGAAAAACAGTGTGCAACGGCCTTCAGTGTCACCGACTTCAAAACAAAGAACGCATTAGTTTATCAAGAAATTATTAAACTGTTAATGCAGCCTTCCTTTCTGGTTTTCCGTGACAATCATTACTTCTGCCGGTGTGCTGTGGCAAGTTTATGCATTCGCTTGAGTGCTTATTAGGCTACGTAGGCAATTAAAGGCTCATTATTATGATTTAAAAGGTTTATTAATAAACGTGCGATTAGTTGACTAAAGCTTAAAATGAACGATTACTAGTCGACTAGAAAAATCTTTAGTCGAGGGCAGCCCTTGTTGAAGCTAAACTTTGCAAGAGAACGGCCCTCCAGGACCAGGACTGGACACCCCTGATCTAAAGCTTCTTGCGTACCTGTCTCCCCTCGAGCTCAATCTGGAAGTTCTTCGCCGATTCCTGCGTGACTCTTCCTCCAAAGTCCAGCTGGTAGACCTGCGTGGCTTCGTTCCAAAGAGGCTGTTTGTTGGCCATGATGTAGACGAACCCTTGGCTGCCGAGGCCACGGTCTTCTTTCTCGTTAGCCTTTCGGCATTTGATTTCGTCTAGCTCGCAACCTCCCGCCCGCAAGTTCCTTTTTGCTTTCCAGCTCTTTTTACCGCTCTGGCTCTGGTTCATCAGTTCATCGCCACTGATGAAGACCTCCGGCTCGCTCTCGGAGCTGTCCTGGAACTCGTTGGTGGTGGCCTTGCTTAGCTTTTTGGCTTTCAGCTGCTCTTTCTGGCTTTTCGGTTTCTTTTTGTCTCGACCGCCTAACCTCGGACTGGAAATGAGGGAGTTGAAGTCACTGAGGGCACGGCCCTCTTTTTTGGACTTGTTGCCTCCTTCTGTGATCGCCGGAACATTGGCTTCCTCCGCCCGACTGTTGTCCAAACGCTTGCGGTTCTTCTTGCCAAACCTATCCGCTCTTTGAGGAACCGGGCTTTCGTTGAGCGAGAGCACCTCTTGAAAGTTTTCCCCAGCCTCGGCGATGGATTCTGGGGGACTCTGGAGGTCTGGAGGAGGCGTAGGCAGAGGAGGTGGTTGAGGGGGAGGAGAAAGAACAGGCTTATCCAGCAAGTGCGAGGTCTTTGGTGGAAGGGATGGAGCAGGACCTGGGGGGCTTGGCATGGGTGGACAGGGATTGTAAGAACCCCACGGATGAAGCGTAATGGGAGTCACAGGCAGATTCGAACAAGAAGCTGTCCCAGGGTACATTGGTGGGAGAGGGCAGCAAGCAAGATTGGGAGAATAACCGGGTGGCAAGACCACTGCTTGGTCCTGCTGGGAAAAGGGAAGAGGAGTAACCACCTCTTTGGGAGAGGTGGGACGTGGAGAAGCTTGCACGGAACCACTGTAGACCGCACTTGGTGGATAGGGCAGAGCAATCTGGTATGCTCCCGCCAGTTGGAAAGTTACAGCGTTAGGACTCATCGGAGATTTAGGCGAGAGGACAAACGGAAGACGGGAGACGTCCAGATGCTGTGCAGGGCTGAGGATGAGTGGGGGAGGTTTGTGGGATGCAGGAGGTCCAGAGGTGGGCAGAGTAGCAGTACGCTCTTGCGGAACCCAGATCTCTTCATTAGTAGACGGATCCCATTGATACGGTGGTGGCCGTTTGACTGTCAAACTCACTACCTCCGTATTAAGAGTCATTTGCCTCAGAGACTGATTTAAAGCCTCGTCCTCTGTAAAGGCGGAGTTGATATAGTCAGCCCTTTCCCTGTTTCCACCTGCACTAGACACTCCACCGGTTCCGTCCATACCGAGTAGGCTGTAGGAAGATTGGGAAGTAAGAGGCGAGGCACTGTTTGAGTGCACTATAACAGTGCTGTGAGGTGCACCACCTCCGGTCAGTGGGAAATCTTGCCTAATGATTGTCCCCCCAGCTATTCCATTACTTCCACTGCTGGTGGCCCCAGCGCTGACCCCACCGTTACTACTGCACTGACTGCATGTATAAAGAGCCGTCGGCCCTCTCGGCTGATAGGAAGCAGACAAAGCACTGGCTTTGGCCTTGGAGGGCAGGGTTCTTTGGGGATCCAGGATCTGAGAAACCTTCAGCGCAGCTTCCCGACTGTTCCGCCTCAAGGTAGCGTGAATCAAGCTGCTGTCCAATCTCTGGCCAGGGTTCCGCCCCGCTCCACCCTGATTGGCTGTATCAGGGTAAGGGGGCGGGTCCCCGCTGGGTATAGAGTACCTTGGCACAGTGAGACGGTTCAACGTGGCTGAGGCGTAGGGCAACTGCACCTTCTTCCCCTCTACAGCAGAGGAAGATGATGAGACCCTGAGGGTGGCAGAGCTTCCCGGGCCTTGCAGTGTGTAAACGTTCTGGTTGCAAACGATTCGCGTGCGGGGACGGCACACCTCCTCCACATTTCCGCTGCTGTCAAATGTGGTGATTCGTTCGTAGCCCAGTGGGGTTGGGTACTGAGCTGCCTGTGCTCCAGGTGGATACAAGGTTAGATCCCCTTTCTTTACACAAGCTTCCCCTGAGGATGAAGTGCTGGAGCTGCTTCCCGAGGTGCAACTTGTAGAAACAGTAGCGGAAACTGCGGCCATGGCAGCGGAAACTGTGCCCGGGTAAGGAGGGGGAGGATTCATCTTACTAATCTCAAGAGGGGCAGTAAAAACTACTGCATCAACCTCAGCCAGTTGAGGGGCAGAACGCGTCGTTTTAATTTTAAGCAGGAGCTCATGCTCCGCGCCGTGCTCTGCTGTTGGGGGAACGTCCGGGATGGTACTCTGCGTAAGCTGAATGACCGGGCATGACGGTTGACCTGAGGGCAAAGCTGGAACAGGGATTTGGATCTGATGCTGCTGTTGCAACTGCTGCTGCATTTGCTGGTGCTGCAGCTGCAGTTGCATTTGCAGATGCTGCTGTTGGATTTGATGCTGAAGCTGCTGCTGCATTTGCTGTTGCTGCTGCATCTGCTGGATCTGCTGTTGCATGTGTTGCTGCTGCTGTTGCTGCATGTGCTGATGCTGCAACAGCTGTTGCTGCTGCAGCTGATATTGTTGAAGCTGTTGCTGTAGCTGTTGATGCTGCTGCTGCTGTTGATAATGTTGTTGCAGCTGCTGTTGTTGTTGGGATTGCGCAACTAAAATCCGACCAACCTCCATACCCCCAAAGATTACCTGTCCAGGACTAGAATACCTGGCAGGAACGGTGTACTGCGCAGTGAGCACAGTGTCCTGCTGTCCTTGGTCAGACACCCCAGGTGGTGCCACAGTCGATGTTGGATTGGACAACACATCCAACTGGACGTTTTGATTGGCTAATAGGGATTGGACAAGGCCAATGCTCTGGGTTGGGGACATGGCTTGCGCGGGGCTGTGTATGGGGGCGATGGGTATGTTGACAGTGCAAGGTGGATTATCATCAGTGATTCCTGATGCTCCTGTGACAGGCAGGTCGTCCTCATCCTCACTGAAGACATTAGGACTAAACATAGGTAAGTTAATGTATTCCACTGAGATCTTCCTCACCTCAGGGAGGTAGATGGTCATCTGTCTGGGCTGGAGGTGAAGCAGACTTGTCTTGTAGATAACTAGAGAGAGGGGAATGTATATTAGAAAACATGGGATGCATAAATAAATGTAGTAATAAATAGTGCTGGGTAATGATTAATCGCGATTAATCAAAATAAAAGTTTTTGTGTATATAATGTGTGTGTGTGTACGGTAGGGCTGTCGCGGTGAGGGAATTTCCCTTGCGGTAATTTTGGTTGCTGCGGTTCTTGCATTCCTCTGCGGTTTGCTCGTCAATAGCGCGATATTGCGATATTGCGGTTATCGCGACAGCCCTAGTGTACGGTGTATATTTATTATGATGTATATATAAAGACACACACACATGCGTGTATATATTGAAGAAAAATATGTTATGTTCATATACTAGGGGAAGTCGTGACCTAATGGTTAGAGAGTCGGACTCGTAACCCAAAGGTTGCGGGTTCGAGTCTTGTACCGGCAGGGATTGTAGGTGGGGGGAGTGAATGTAAAAAATGAAAATTCTGTCATTAATTACTCGCCCTCATGTCGTTCCAAACCTGTAAGACCTTCGTTCATCTTCGGAACAAAAATTAAGATATTTCTGATGAATTCCGAGAGCTCTCTGACGCTCTCATAGACAGCAAGGGTTCTTACACGATCAAGGCTCAGAAACATAGCGAGGATGTTGTTAAAATAATCCATGTGACATCAGTTCGGTTCATCCGTAATTTTACCAAGCTACAAGAATACTTTTTGTGAACAAAGAAAACAAAAATAGCGACTCCTCCGCGTCACCCTATAGTGTCATTTTGAAGAGTATCACATACGTAAACAACGTATGCAACGTATGTACACGGATACGCTGTTTAAGCTTTGATCTGAACGTAATGCTGTCTATGGGAGGGTCAGAGAGCTCTCGGAATATCTTAATTTGTGTTCCGAAGATGAACAAAGGTCTCACGGGTTTGGAACGACATGAGGGCGAGTAATTAATGACAGAATTTTCATTTTTGGGTGAACTATCCCTTTAAATATATTTATATATATATATAATATAAATTATATGACTATAAATATATACATGTAAATATTTTCTAAATATATACTGTATGTGTGTCTTTACATATACATAATAAATATACACAGTACACACACATATATTATGTACACAATTTTTTATTTTGGATGCGATTAATCACGATTAATCATTGCCCAGCACTAAAAATTAATAAATAAAATACCTGCTCCAAGATTTGTTGGCAAAAATGCTGCAAGCCCCACAATTTTGAACTTTGTTCCCCATATGTTAGATGTAACTTGCGCAAGATAATTGTGCTAAAATACAAGGAGACAAATCTTAATAAGAGGGAAACATTCTGTGAGCTCACACATACATGTTTTTACAAATGTGACCCTGCAGCACAAAAGCAGTGTTAAGTCGCTTCTCAATATTTAGATTTTTTTGCACCCTCAGATTCCAGATTTTCAAATATTGTCCTATCCTAACAAACCATACATCAATGGAAAGATTATTTATTCAGCTTTCAGCTGAAGCATAAATCTCAATTTCAAAAAACTGACCCTTATGACTGGTTTTGTGCTTCAGGGTCACAAATTGTACAGCCAGCATTGTGTATCATTTAGCTGCGGTGAGTACCTGTGTGATGTCATCGAGCGGAAACTCCCGCCGAGTCAGACTCGGAGAGCCAATGGAGGGCTTGCGAATGGGTAACCGAGGCGATCGCGATATTTCCTGTGCGGTGCGGGAGAGCTTGGGGGACTTACGGGGATCTATATTTATCCTGTTGGTAAAGGGACACACTAAGTCTCTACAGAGAAGGTACCAAGCGAAGAAAAGAGTTCAAGGTTAGTTTGCAGCAGCATGCAGCCTAAAAAAATTGCAGAGTTAAACAAAACATGTCTTCAGAACTGCAGGATCCATGAGTTTCATGCTTCCAAGATTAACTATTTTTACAAAAGCATTTCATGATTAATTTCTTGTTATTTATCAGGTTAAAATGTGCACCTAGAAGGGATACCTAACCTTGCAGATAATTTTGCACAGTGAACTTATCAATGCATAGTAGGGGTGTGCGATATTGACAAAAAATAATACCTCGATATTTTCTGGGATTTTATCGATAACGATAATTAGACAATATTGTGCTGAGTGTGTTATTGTGCTGCCGTACACAGCTGACTCTACGGCATCTTATCTTTTGAGTCAAATTCTTACATTTAATCAGTGAATTAGAATAAGACGAGGTGTAGCAAGGGCCGCCGACCTCAGGGTTGTCCTCGGTGCGCTTCATGGTGCAGTGCAGACGCTCGTTACCTGATGTCGGATAACTAACAAAGTCCCGCATGTTGTTGGGATCCGGGATGGGGGGCTGAAGTGAGGAAAGGGTGCCAGAAACAAAGACAGATGGAAGAATATGAACGGGTGTTCCTTGAAATACAGAACATACTACACAACCAGCAGCTCCAGAAACAAGATCCATGTGCAGAATAGGGGTGTGAGATATGGACACAAAAATTAATAAAAAATCTCGATATTTTTTGGGATTTTATCGATAACGATAATTAGACGATATTTTGCTGAGTGTGTTATTGTGCCACTACCATGGACAGCTGACTCCTGAAGTTTTTGATATTCATATTCTGTGTGGCCAGTTCACAGCAGTGAAATAAATATTACATTTTAAGCAGATTTTTACCTTTTATAAGCATTTTTACCTTTATAAAGACATTTTTCTAAAAGTGTGCATCATTTTTGAGTCAAAGTCTTACATTTAATCAGTGAATTAGAATAATGAGACATTTGGGCTGTTACCAAGCAAATGAAATCAGTATTGACAAAATGAATCTTTGCAGTGCAGAGGAAACACAGAAGCTGCGTCTGAAGTGGCATTTAGATGTGTTTACACACTGTTTAATTCATCTTTGCAATGCAGAGGAAACACAGAAGCTGCGTCTGAAGTGGCATTTAGATGTGTTTACACACTGTTTAATGCAGGACATAAATGCTTTAACCTGCAATTACAAATGCATAAATAATGTTTTGATATATTAAACGTAAAACGTTTGAAATTATTTAAATAAAAGATACTCTGAATGTGAAATTAAAACCCATCGTTAAAACAACAATTACGATATTATCGCAGATGATATATATCACACCCCTAGTGCAGAACTGCCTGTGAGTTGGAAGTTTTCTACCTTAATGGTAGAAGCGAAGGCAGAAGACACGCTTGTGCTCAGGCGAGAGGGCATGCTGAGCTTGGCCACGTCTTTCTCCTCGTGTACCGCGCTGGCGATCACCTGTCGGCACAGCAGCTGCAGGCTGGCGACCCGATGCTCGACGCGAAGCACGTACAGCGCCGGGCCGCTGGCGAGGAACAGACGCGAGTCCCGATGGCCCCAGCACAGCGCACTGATCGGCCTCTGAACACAGAAACACACCAGAAACACACATATCAGTGCAACGCTCCATCTGTGTTAAACTGCCACATTCATAAAGGTTTTATGAGGGTAAACTTATAAGAAAATGTCAATAAGAAAAGCAAAAGAAAATGTGTGACCCTGCAGCACAAAAGCAGTCTTAAGTCGCTGGGGTCCTATCCTAACAAACCATACATCAATGGAAAGCTTATTTATTCAGCTTCAGATGATGTATAAATCTCAATTTCAGGAAATTGACCCTTATGACTGGTTTTGTGCTCCAGGGTCACATTTAAGGAAAAAAAATGGAAGGGAACACAACACATCAATATGTGTCATGCAATGCATAATAACACTTCAAATATTGAAAATACAACTTCCAACAGATCTCTGTTAATTTTTAATGCATTTAACAACAACAAAAAGCTTAAGGTATTAATATCTCTACTGCCAAAAGAGTGGGAATAACTTTCACTTTACCTTCTGATCACACTGAATAAAGCCATGCTCTTCATCAGTATTTTTGTCTTGCTTTCCAAAAGACTCTTAAATCAAGATATATTATTTGAAAAGCAAAATTCCATAAGTCTTGTTTTCTGAGAATTTGATCAAAATGAAGTGAGCTGATTAAAACAAAGACAAATATTCGTCACACTGACAGATGTGTGTTTTTGTTTTAAGCATAAACTCGCTTCATTGTGTTCAATAAATTCTTAGTAAACAAGCCTTCCTTTTGCATCTCAAGTAAATGTATCTTGATTTAAGGATGTTTAGATGTTTGTAATGGACACACAAGACACTTATTTTTGCAGTGCATGCAGCATTTCATGCCATGCATTTTTTAAGACTGCTCTGATTTGTGCAAATATGAATTACGACCTGCACGAACCCTGAGCATTTTGTAGTTAAAAGTGACTCACAAAAGAGTAACGAAAGCAAAAAAAATGATCTGGTGTTATTGCACATATGTCCGTTTATGACCAAAGACTCACCTGAGCAGGTGTCTCCAGTGAGTAAATGTGTTCACCGCAAACATTGTAAAACTTAACAATGGCGTTTCGGGTGGGGTCAGAGGTCATCACGAGTCTCTCCATGCCAGCAACAGCCAGCAGGTCGCCCTGAGAGCACCACTGCACCACCACATCTGATTCATACACATGCAAACCAGTATGAAAATTCACTTTATACATCACTTCACTTAGTAATGATAATCATTCACATATCCACACATGGCTTCAGTGCACTGATTCAGCAAATATTGATTTGTTTAGATTGTTGGTGGGGGAAATCCAATAAAGACTCGTTTTAGGAAATCCTTCTGCATTGCAATAGATCCCATTCTGTTCGCTGTGGTCTGTTTTTGTGTCAGTAAGCAGGAGAATTATCACTCAACAAGCACCAAATGCAGTGATTTAATGACTGCAATGATTGTACACTGTATATTTAAAAGGGGTCATCGGATGCCCATTTTCCACGAGTTGATATGATTCTTTAGGGTCTTCATGAAAAGTCTATAACACACTTTGGTTAAAATTCCTCAATGGTAGTGTAAAACCTTTTTACCCTGTCAAAAACAGCTCTTTTCACGTTTTCGTGCATGTCCCTTTAAATGCTAATGAGCTCTGCTGACTCCGCCCCTCTCTTCCCGTTCTGTGAGAGACTGTGAACTTTAACCGCATTCGTTGTGGAACATGCTAACTAGCACATTATTAGGAAAGGCAATTTGCAAAGATTAATTAAAAAAAAAACGTGTACTCGCTGCTTCTGCACACCAAAAAATAATTTTCTTACTTAGTATTTTTGTCGGGTTTTCTAGTATAAATATCTAAACATTCTTGAATCAAGATGCATTTACTTGACAAGTAAAATGGCTTAAGATATTATGTCTTGTTTTCTGAAAAAAAGAATCATAATTTAGTCATTTTTTTCCTTAAAACAAGTGAAAATATCTGCCAAGTAAATGCATCTTGATTCAATAATTTTTTGATATTTTTACTAGAAAGTAAGACAAAAATACTACAAAAGTAAGAAAATCATTTTTCGCAGTGTGTAGGTGAAGCTGGATCCTATGGAAGCCCGTTTCCGCCACTGAATAAAAAAATTTAAAAAAGTTATTGCGTATTTTTATCTCACAATTCTGACTTTTTCACAGAATTGCGACTTCGGGGGAGCATTCCCTTCAGAAACAAACGTAATCCACTGCGTCTTCAGCGGCTCAGATGTCGGGAGTTAATGACGACTGCTGTTCATTATTACATCCAACAACAGAACACCTCAATCGCTCAGGAGCCATTCTCGTCTGCATCTGCTCCGGCGGTGAAACAATGGAGGACTGATGACGGCTCACTCAGGGCGGAGCTATGATAAAACACCAGTGTCAATCAACACTCGTGGGAGGGGCCTGAGAACAGCTTGATTTGAGAAAGGGCTTATTTATCGGGATTTTAAAAAAAAAAGCACGGTGTATTTTTATCATTATAGGTACCAACACACACTTCAGTTCAAACAACTTTGCATCCGATGACCCCTTTAAATGACCCTGTAGGACTACAGAAAATACAAGAATGTGAGGAAGAACCTTTGAGGCCGGTGCGTATTAACGTGGGTGAGAGGTCATCGTAGTTGCTCATCAAACTGACGTCTCCAGACGTGAAGCAGACGGTCAACAGCGGCTTCAGACGGTGCACTGAAAAAGAAAGTGTTCATGTTCGGTTTCTTTTTGTAATGTGTTGATTTATGAGTTTTCTGTTTGTGAAAACAGTAACAAGCTATTGTGAATAAACACCATCCTAACACCGCTGTGCATTATTTAATCAAAGAAAGACAGGAACGGGATCACACTAGCCGTGGTTCCATCTTCCTATTGTTATGCGCATTTTGGGATATATTACATACAGTGCCTTCTACTATGCTACAGCAAATTAAATTTTTTTAGATATTTAGCGCAAGTTAATCAGGAGGTGACGATTTTGTTCTCTTCAACTCACTGGATGGAAACGGTGCTTTATTCGCAATTGTTTTATGCGATATTCTATTTTTGCGCATAAGATTAATTCGTAAGTTTGGATGGAAACATACATTTTAGACGCAATATTGACAGTTTTTGCTCAATTTCACTGACGAACATAGTTCCAATCACAGACACAGCAGAACAGTTTTGTGTCTCCGAGCAACACAGCGGTGCTTCGTTACTGAATGAATGAACGAATCGAGTGAGTCAATGATTCAGTTACCCATTCATAAACATGTTTCTTAATGAATCAGCCGTTTGAACGAATCTGTTAAAGGACTAAATGACTCACTCATTAAAACCTTTAATTTGCCGCCACCTACTGGTTTGGTTTCATATTTAAAACCATCATTGCATTTTCTCAACATTTCTTATTTGTATGTTTCATTAAAACATTAATCTTATAAAATTCTTCATGCATTCTAAATGTTGCCGTGTAAATGCATTTAAGGCAGCTCAGCTTCATCACACAGTGTGTAAACACATCTAATGCCACTTCAGATGCAGCTTCTGTGGAAAGATGGAGTTTAATACTGATTTCATTTGAATGGTAACAGCTCTACAGTTTCTTATTATTCTAACTGAATTAATTGAAACAATGTAAGGATTTGATGTGAAAGATGACACATTTAATAAGGTTAGTGAAAAAAATTGCCATTTATGAAACATAGTGGGAAATGGCATCTGTTTTGTTAAATACAGCAATTCCTTTTCAGTTAATTGTTATTTCTTCCTCTTTTCTAGTCACAGAGCACTTTATTTTGAGAGCTGTTTACGTGAGAGAACAACTGTAACTTACTCCAGATTGGGGCAATTGTAATGTTTAATATTTTTTTTATCATGCACATTTTTTTGCATTAAAAAAGTATCGATTTTTCTTTGTATATGCTGTCAATTATAGTTTCAGAGATGCAAACAGGTGAGGGGTGGGGGAAAGGTGAGAACATTGCGCGGATCCACACGGAATTTATTTTAAAGATATTTGCTTTACATGCTCATTTGTAGTTACATTAAGGTATTTTTAAAAATATTTTTTTATTACCTTATATGTCCGAAACTAATTTCACACACACACACACACACACACACAAAACACAATTAACATCTTGTTGCAACATTTTACAAAAATCAAGATTGCATATTATTAGTCAAAATCCCATTTTATAACAGATGAAGTGCTATGCAGGCTATTAAAGACAATATTGTCTGATTAGACGGCGATGCTGAACTAAAATGCTAGATGTTTGCCCTTCTCTCTCTTCAGCGTTCACACATCTCTGACCTCAAACACATTTGAGACAGTTTTTCAAGTAAAGAGTAAAGAAAACACTATACAAAACTTATTGAAACAACAGGGGCCAGTTGCATAAACTTGGCTTACACTGCAAAAAATTATTTTCTTATATTCATACAAATAGTATAAATATTTGTATCCTCTATCTTAAATTGAGTTTTTGGAGGAGTTTGCATGTATGAGTCTTTAGAAAGAAAATCGGAGTGGGCACACTTACAAATAAAAAATTGTAAATCAGAATCGGCCAAGAAAACTGCAACCGGTGCATCTCTAATAAAAACAGAATCTCTCAGAGACTGCAGCTGTTACCCTGCAGAGGCGTGTAATCGTCCGAGTCCGTGTCGCTCTCGCTGCTGTCCTCCAGCAGAAAGCTGGGGTAATTCCAGGCCATGCTAGCGATGCCCTCCGCCTCGTGCAGCAGTATATGAGCCAGCATCCGGCCGTGACAGTCCATGACGATCACCTGCCCGTCCGCTGTGCCAAACAACACCTGACGAGCAAAACAGTCTGCTTAAGACCCGTGCAATTACAACCACTACAGAACAAGCCCAAACTATCATGCATCTCGTGTTCTTGTAGCTGTTTAAACAACTGCAGAACAGTTTATAACCCTCAAGACATTCAATATATACACAGGAGTATCCTGGTTTAAAGGGTACGTATGTTTTAGAAATGCACTAATATATCAATATATACAATTTGATTGATACTGGATTTCGCTGATACGATAATAATGCGTTTAAATAAAGATAGTTGTGCAACTTTAAAGATGATTTTCTCAATATTTAGATTTTTTTGCACCCTCAGATTCCAGATTTTCAAATATTCTCCTATCCTAACAAACCATACATCAATGGAAAGATTATTCATTCAGCTTTCAGATGATGTATAAATCTCAATTTTAAAAAAATTTACTCTTACGACTGGTTTTGTGCACCAGGGTCACATATATTGCGTGTTAAATAATGCCCCTATTCTTTCTTTCCCGTGAGTTTATGTTAAATCGAATGCCAGATACAGTTTATTGTGTAACCAAAATACCAATAATATCCAGAAATAAAGATTTTATGCATAATGCAGAGCTGTTATTTATAAACAAGCCTATTTTCTATATTTATTATCATTTTTCTGTAAAGCACTGACCGCAATTACCACAGTGTATGAAACGTGCTATAAATAAACAATAAAAAAATAATAATAAATACACTTACGTACTGCCTATTAAAATAATACAAATGAATTTAAGTTTTTAAAAATAATTAAAATTTTTAAAAAATAATTTACAAAATAAGAATTCGTTTTTAGATTTAAGATAGTTAAGACTTAATAGGTGACATTATATTTTATTTATTTTTAATAATTTCTGATCAACTGAATTTAATCAAGTCACTTTAAAGACCCAACCATTAATTTCACAAGCACTACAGTGGTCACCTGCTGGTCGTCGGGGGTCCAGATCCCACAGGTGATCTGACTCTCCAGGTTGATCTCCGAGGACCAGTGGCGCTGACCGCTCACCGAGCCCACCAGCACGAAGCCGTCGCGGTACGAGATCAGCGCCTGCATGCCGTCGTGAGACCAGGTGAAGTCGCTCACCTGCGCAGGTACAGCAGGTTAAACACCGCGCACCAGAATAAACATCTCCTGATCATTTACTCTCCCTCGTGTCATCCACGATGCTCACGTCTTTCTGTCTTCAGTCGCAAAGAAACTACGTTTTTTGAGGAAAACATTGCAGGATTTTTCTCCATATAGTGACTTCAATGGTGCTCAACGGATTGAAGGTTAAAAATGCAGCTTCAAAGAGCTCCACACGACCCCAGCCGAGGAACAAGACCCTTATCTAACAAAACCATCGCTCATTTTCTGAAAATATTATATTTATCCACTTTTTAGCCACAAATGCTGGGCTAGCGTTAGCTCTGCGATGCGCGTCTTCACACGTCACGTAATCCTGTTGGAAAGGTCACGCGTGATTAGTTCTTCATTTAAAAACTCCATCTCATGTTCTCCTTCAACTTTAAAATCGTCCGACATCGTTGTTTTATCTTTTTTGTAAAGGCACTGACTTTTGTGTAAACACTGGATCCGCTTACATCACGCCTGACCTTTCCAACATCAGCTAATAAAGACACGCATCGCAGAGCTAACGCTAGCCCAGCATTTGTGACTAAAAACTGTATAAATATTCATTTTTTCAGAAAATGAGCGATGGTTTTGTTAGATAAGAGTCTTATTCCTCGGCTGGGGTCGTGTGGAGCTCTCTGAAGCTGCATTTTTAACCTTCAATCTGTTGAGCACCATTGAAGTCACTATATGGAGAAAAATCCTGCAATGTTTTCCTCAAAAAACAATTTCTTTGCGACTGAAGACAGAAAGACGTGAGGATCGTGGACGACACGGGGGTGAGTAAATGACCAGGAGATGTTTATTCTGGAACTGGACTTCTCCGTTAACGGCGCTGTAGGACGTCTCACCTGAGCTCCGCGGTCATTGACCAGCTCCACTGACCAGCGGCCCTCATACTGGATCCAGACGAAGATCCCGCCGTCGGTGTCGCAGGTCGCCAGCTTCTGGAAGGGCTCGTTCCATCGCACCAACACCACCTGCGAGAGCAGCACAGAAAACACTCCTTCGTGTTCGTTCCCAAAGCTGAAGAACTGACTGGCACGGTTCAGCGCTTTCATAAGGGGTCATATGACGCAAATCTTCCCACATAGTGATGTAGATATGTGGGGGCGTGTTAGAACGAGCCGTTTTAGGAGGTCGTGGACTTTTAGAAAGAATAACTCTTTGGGTTTGAGACTTTCATTTTTGTGAATTTACAGATCTTATCTATTCACGAACAGCTTGTAACACTCCAAAGAGAAAGGAAAACTTGAAATTGCATCATATGACCCCTTTAAAACTAAACCGTAAAGTCGTACATTACGCTTCGAATTACACAGCTACTTACCAAAAAACAAACAAATGGACTGGAAATATTGATCTTGATTTTCTTATGTGAGAGTGTGGAGCTAACTATGAAACTATGATCTCATAAACAAGACAATATCATATTTATTAACACCGTTATGATTTGCTCTGAGCCTGCTTAAATGCATTTTTTTAAACATAATATGCATTTAATGTGATTTAAATGACATTAGTGTGTTTTTTTTTGGTAATTTGCAGGGTTCTCACAGCGTTTGACCAACAAATTCACATGACTTTACCAATTGTTGGAATTCATGTGTTTAAATGACTTGTTAGCATACAAAAAGTATTTTTTTACATGCAATTTTATGCAAATATGACGCAAAATCAAGCCTTTTATTTTTAAATATTTTAATTATTAATATTTAAATTTAATTTCAAAATTAACATTTGGGGTTTTTTTCTAAATAATTTTTTCCTTGTCTTTTTAATGCAATTTTTAATATGATTTTCAAGTGCAAATTTGAAGCAAATCGAGCCATTTATTTGATATATTTTAGAACCAAGCAGAACGTAAGAAATATGAGTGATTTGTGTCAATAATAAAAAAAAGCCATTACATTTACTTTTTCAGGCCTTGAAATCACAATTTTTCAAAAAATTTTCCCGACATTTTTAATGCAATTTTGCAGCTAATATTATAGAATCAAGCAAAAATAAATATTTATATATAAATTTTACAATAAAATGGCCATTACATTGACTTTTTCAGGCCTTGAAACCACAAAAAAAAAAAAAAAAAAAACTAATTAATTTATTTTTACCTAGCCTTTTTAGATATTTTTGCATATTCTAAGCGAATTTAGTTTAGATATTTTAGAACCAAGCAAAACTCAAGAACAAAAATGTACATTCATATAAAGAGATCGTGAGGGAAGGAAATCACATGATACACTTGTAAGCTGTTTCTTTCACAGACACACACTGATCCGCGTGCAGACGCAGCTAAACACACACAGACGTCACAACAAGATCAGACTGAAGATCTGACCAAATGCAGGATTACAGCAGAAAGCCAAAGCCACAGAAAGAGTCCATAATCAGCCGCTTTATTAACTGGACACGTGCCTGGACTCACAACAGAAGGCAAAGACATGCTTTCATGCCTTAAACATTTAGTTCTCTGATAGAACGTGTGCTTGTGAATAACTCAGCTGCTCTCTATAGAGTGATTTAGCACTGGACATCACACGGTGATGCGACACAGAAACTGAAGCTGTATTTAATGCCATATATCACATGCATGCAGACGTGTTTTCAGTCTGAACGAAGAACAGCTTCTCTCGTAACCCATGATCCGATTACATAAGGTGACTTCACTAGAGGACAGATCTACAAACCAAACATCTTTGAGCGTTTAAACAGAAATGTTAATTATGTCACCGTTTACTCGCTGTAATGTCCTTCCAGATGTTTTTCGCTTTCCCAGTGGAACACAAAAAGAAAAAGTTTTATGGACTAGTTTTATGACACTTTCTTAGTGTTTTTTTTCTCACCGTCTGCTCTGAAAAACAGCAGCAGGAATTTTTAAGTAGCCGCCTAATTAAAATGTATTTTTCCCTGGCCTTTTTAATGCACTTTTGAAACAAATCTAGCCATTTATTTATTTTAAATGAAGCAAAACTTAAGCATAACTTACATATTTTCCCTGGCCTTTTTAATGTAATTTTTAAAGCAGTTTTTATGAAGGTAAATTTAAGACCTTTTTAAGACCAAGTAAAGTGTGTGTGTGTGTGTGTGTGTGTGTGTGAGAGAGAGAGAGAGAGAGAGTGTGTGTGTGTGAGTGTACGTGTGAGAGAGAGTGTGTGTGTGTGTGTGTGTGTACGTGAGAGTGAGTGTATGTGTGAGTGTACGTGTGTGAGTGAGTGAGTGAGTGAGTGAGTAAGTGAGTGAGAGAGAGAGTGAGTGTACGTGTGAGTGAGTGAGTGAGTGAGTGTGTGCGTGTGAGAGAGAGTGAGT